TATATATATTTGTGTGTGTGTGTGTGTGTGTGTGCGTGTTTGTGCGTGTGCGTGTGTGTGTGTGTGTGTGTGTGTGTGTGTGTTATTTATTTATTTATTTTTCCCGGAATTTTCAGAAAAGTCCACTTTCATCTCTGAGTATATTATTCCAAGTGATTCAAAAATGGTGCACACAGTGTTGTGATTAATTTGAGTTGTTCCACGCCCCCCCCCACAAAAAATGAAGACATAATTTTTTTCTTAGTTAACAGCTCTGAGCATTTTTAGTCCAAGAGAAGAGGACTCTGGCAACCCCAGTGAAAGTAAAAGTAGTCATCCTTCCATGCCAACCCGCACTCGCTGCCAGCCACCGAAGGTCAATGCAAGCATTTTCTTGACAAGCTGCATCTGATTTATACACTTCACACCCAACAACCTCAAAAAGGACTCTTTCAAGCAAACAGGAAACCAACTTGCATCCTAAATAGATTGTATTCAACATTCACCCACAACCAGTTTTCTCAGACATACAATTTATTCTTCCTAACTCATTTGGATTTTGAATACATCTATGGGAGGCTGACAAGACAAATTCTTGACTTTGTGTTTCTTACTTGTCAATGACCTTTTACGGCCCATGCAGTGTTTTCAGTGGCGGCTCATCTCAAAAAGCAGCTAATTTGACATCTTTTGGGTTTGTAAATCAAATGCGTTCATCAGGTCATTCAAAGCTTTTTCATTGCAGGTTCTCAGCAATTGAGGACGACATGATGTGCAGTTAATGGCGGCAAATTGAATTTTATGTATTTAGCTTGTGTTTTTAATCTGCTCCAACTGAACACATCCTGTTAATATTTAAAACAGGTCACATCCTCTCTGAGAGCATCAAAGGGGTTACAGATGTTGAGAATAAGATCTCTTGTTATGCAGAAGTTGTCTTTGAGTCATGTTGTGACTGACATCCATTAATCTCTTTCTTTGCTTCTTTTGTTTGTGCAGAAGGAGACCGGTTCTATGGATGACATCTACGTCAGCACGCGGAAAGTTAAGGAGCTGTCAGTCATTGATGGCCGACGCGCGCAAAACTGTGTCATCCTCCTTTCAAAGTAGGTGTTCGTTATTGTGACTTCACACCGTCAACAAACGTGGAGCTTATTGGCATTTCCATGACAGAGAAGCATTTGGGTCAAAGGTCAGAGCGGCATGTGCTTTTGTCAGTTTTAAATGGACAATAGGAAACATCCGTCAGTTTTTGTAATTCATTTTTTTTTTTTGACGAGCAGATGTGTCATGTGGCAGGCAGACCATATCGATGATAATGGGAGAGTAGTCAAATTACAGCTAAATAGTTTGTGATTGTGTGTGTGTGTGTGTGTGTGTGCGTGTGTGTGTGTGTGTGTGTGTGTGTACCGGTAAATGATTCACATGTACACAGCACACACCTCCTAAATGGCCTGAAGTCACATTCTATCTGAATGGGGATCAATTGTCATCATTCAAGGTCCGTTCAGCAAAATATTTTCCATTTGTCTTCTCACCACACTTCCCCAAACCCCTTTGGAGACTTTGATCACTGACCCCTCTCGCTTTCCAGATCAATAAACATAGGCTTCCTGGAGTCTGTCTTTGTCGAAGGAATCTGCAGTTGGTTCCCTTGGCTAAATAGTGTGTCCATATTGCATGAGCCAGGGGATCCATACTCGACCCAAAATAAGGTCAACGGTCAGTCAATAAGGCTTTAGTGTGCAGATTGAAAATGCTGCTATTGATCACGCACCAGGACTTTTCACACTGTTCAAGGGCACTGAGGACAACTGGCAGTGAACTGACACCAGACCAGACATGTACATTCAGTGCTAGTCAAATGATTCATAATTGTATTGATGAGATGATCACAAGAACTCAAGGGTAACGTGTATGCTCCATGTTGCAAGCAGGAAATCAGTCACTGAGAGGCAAATGCTTGCTGAAAAGACCATGAAACACCTTGCTGTAACAAAGACAACACTGTCAATAATGGAAGAGATGAAATTTCAATAAACAGTCATCGGTGGTGCGCAGACAAGAACATGCTGAAATGTTTGCAATATGTCATCATTTTATACTCACCAGATTCTTTATTATCTATACTCACCTGATCTACAGTCAACATTTTCTTTCCTCTAATATATTCCATGTGGCTCCACTATCAGCCGTAATTGTTCAACTACTTGAGCCCTTCGGCACTGTGATGTCATTTTCCGTCGAGGGCAAGTAACAAAATGCCCTCAGCCTCCAAGATAAATAAAAACAGCTGGATTTTGTTGCTTGATTCATATTCCACAAACGCACTATTAATCAGAATGCCGTGCTTTGACTCGTGGGAGTGCATGGAGCATATTGTACATCAACTGTTTCACTTAACTTCCCCTTTAAAGGTTTTGACTTTGTACAGATAATCAGTTTTAATTGAGGGACAACATTTATGAACCCTTTAATAATACAACCGGGTACCTTATGAAATAGTAAACGTGTGATTAACCACGCATTTTTTTTCTCTCTCTCGTTTTTTTTTTACAGATTAAAAATGAGCAATGAGGAGATCAAGAGGGCCATCCTCGAGATGGATGAGCGAGAAGAGTTGGCCAAAGACATGCTGGAGCAGGTGAGCCTTGGTCGCATACATGAATTATGTACTTCAGACTCATGATGGATACCCATGTGACAAGACAAGAGGGTTCATATGTACTGTAAAAGATTTAAGAGAAGAAAAAAAAAAGGAAGGTGACTTTTGTCTGTGGATTACTGATACTGCTTAGTTGAAGTGTGCCGCTGTTTTGCTATTTCCTTTTTCCCAAGAACAGCAAAGTGCAAAACTCATAAACCAGGATTGTTTTTGGCACAGATATCAAATGCATGAATAAGTCGGCACAAAACCACGGCTACAGATAAGAAAAATAAAAGTTTAAGGAGGTAGATAAGAGATGGCATCGGTTCCTTCATTGAATATGTATCAGCAGCTATTTTGAAAATTATGCAGGCCCCGAATAATGCATTCAGTCTCTGTTGCATGCATGTGTGTGTGTGTGTGTGTGTGTGCTTTTAAGTTACTGAAGTTTATCCCAGAGAAGAGTGACATTGATCTCCTGGAGGAGCACAAACATGAGCTGGAGCGCATGGCCCGAGCGGATCGCTTCCTGTTTGAAATGAGCAGGTACGCAGCCACCTTTTGTGCAATGCTTTCCATCCGGCAAAGACTTGAAAGTTAGATGCTTTTTCCTGTGTTCGGTAAAAAGAATAATGCTGCTGCTCATGAAGAACAGGCAGTGGCAAAACATAGCAAGCCTCGAGTTTGCTTTGTGGATAATAATAGATTGTAATTCCATTCTTAATTCTGTTTAACTGTCACTTCTTTTCACATGCTCTTCATCCATTTCCTCACCATCACACACATGCATAAATGGATCCCATGGCAAGACAAGCATCAAGAGGAATGTTAGTCAGGCGGTGACACAATCAGTGGTCCCTTTGCAGTTGTAGAACAGTCGACACTGTGTTCCATAAGTTGATGAAAGCATTTTATTTCCTTTTGTGCACCGTAATCCTGCCTACCGTATTTCCGTTTAACCACAGCTCTCTCATTATGTTGAATATATTTCGGAGTCCACCGTTTAATATTGCCAGATCACTTCGTCGCCTTTTAAAACAGATTTATCAAATTAATTGGTGGTGGTTTTCTTTTCCTATCATTAGAATTGACCACTACCAGCAGAGACTGCAAGCTCTGTTCTTTAAGAAGAAGTTTGCTGAGCGCCTTGTTGAAACCAAGCCAAAGGTGGAAGGTGAGCATTCATTTGATATTTAACGCTATACACGATACAAGCTTTTGTTTTTAAACTGGGCTTTGACTACTAGAATGCTGCGTTGCATTTATTCCAAAACCTCCAAATCCATGCAGCTGTAATGTTCCAAAAGGCATCTTTCACTTGGGTTGCTTTGCAGCACAAATGGAGCAGAAGATTCCACTTAGTAGAGCATGTTTTTTAGTCCAAGCTAATAATGTAATACTGTAAGATTGTCGCTCGCAATAACTGTGTCGTCAGTAGTGGTGAACATTCTCGAGACCCACCCGTGAGTCCAGGGGAATGTGTGTGCAAGTGCGCGCGTGGGTCACTGAGTGCAGCCTTTGTAAGCGGACTTGCAGGTTACCACGAAGGATGTTTTGGAAAACTGGCCGTTGTCGACAGGGAAAAGCCTTTGCTCGTAAACATGGAGCTCAGCTCAAAGACCTGAAGGCGAAAAAAAAAAGATTTCCACAGTCATGTGCGCTCACATGCTTGTTGGTTTTTTTAGACCCTAGTTTAATTGTGTATGCTGCGGCATTTGTTGTCGAATGAGATCAAATAGAATGAATCTTGTGACGTTTCTGGCCATCAGGCTTGGAAAGAAAACAGAAGCCTAATCCTGAAAGGATTGAGTTGGAATCCAGGCCTCTTGAAATCTTTGATGTTGCATCCAAATGTTCCCAAACCGCACATGCTAAGTTTTCAATCGTGTTGCGTTGTGTTAGCCCAGATGAGACCATTTTCTGGACCACCCAGCATGTTTAATCTAAGAATATTCTGTCAACGGAGCAAAGTTCAGCCAGGTTGTTGTGCATCAGACCAAACATTGTGAGCAGAGCCCAAAGAACAATTCTCATGCTCTTCGGTGGCACAGTGAACTGCAACAATAAGAATATGGATTGTAATGGCTTTAGCATTCACACTGCGGTTTCCTCTGCGGAGAGAGGGAAGCACCTGCCCCTTTGCCAACAAGGTTTGTTTTCTCAGGGAACAAAGCTTACAGTTCAGGGTTTAGAACTTTCCCTTTTCTCCTTGCTGCTCTTCATAACAGTGGATCTCGTGACTTCATGGGCTTCCCCATTGAGCTGCCCACTTTTTACAAGCCTTGTTGATCAATCGTTGTGACGGACATAGAAAATATGGAAATCATACAGTTCAGACCTGAGTTAGTCTAATGGGATGTGTGCTTATGGTACACATTACACTGAGTAGACCTAACAAAGTAGGAATTTCAAAAGTTAAAAGTGACACGCTTAGCAAATGTTTACTCAATCACCAGCGGTAGGAGTCTCGCCATTCACTTCTCTCAATCGATTTTCTCGCCTAGCCATTCTGAATGCTTCCAAGGAGGTGGTGCGGAGCAAGAGGCTCACTCAGATCCTGGAGGTTGTGCTCGCCTTCGGCAACTTCATGAATAAGGGCCAGCGAGGAAATGCCTTTGGGTTCAAGGTCTCCAGCCTCAATAAGATTGCCGACACCAAGTCCAGCATAGATAGGTGAGTTGTTTGAATTAACTGGCTGAACAGCTGGACATTGTTTAGACTTTGGCGCTGACAAATCACAGTGTGCCTGTGTAAAACGTGTCCAATGTGCATTGAGGGGGGAAAAAAAAAAGAGAGAGAAACCCTGAGAAGAGGCCGCCTGATGGGAGAATCCCCCTTCCAGGATGACCAGGCTGCAATGGATGCCGAGTGGCCATCTTTGACACAATATTGTACCATATAATGTTAGTTTGAATGATATAAAAGTTTATTTAACATCTTTGAGATTAATTAACCACAACCGACATTGTGGCTCACTCATCCGCACTCATAACCTCAGAATTTGTGAATATTACCAGTTGAATGGTAAAAAAAATCCCAACAGAACATTTCAACAACTAGTAAAAAGTAGCCCCATAGAAGCGAAAGTTATTATATCTCGCAAACGTAGATGTTTTCTCCCATATTTCTCCCATTTTGGTCGTAGCTTGCAAGTTTTGCTTGTGTTTCTCTGTAAAACATGTGTCCCCCCCGCTGCACAATCCCACCAGGAACATCACCATGTTGCACTACCTGATCATGATCTTTGAAAAGAACTACCCTGACACGCTGCACATCCATCTGGACCTCAGCAGCATACCAGAGGCTGCAAAAGTCAAGTGAGTGCAATCATACAGCAGCATGTTGGTGAAAAGACACTTTTACCAAATCGCCAAAGGTTGTAGAAACGGGAACAAAACGGTGTCGCCTTAAATTTGCAAGACTGTTCAGTTTGTTCTTTTGTGTGTCTGTTTATTTATTTGTTTTTTGCTTCCCAGTTTGGCAGAGTTGGAAAAAGAGGTGCACAGTATAAAAAGTGGACTGAAGGCGCTTGAAGCGGTGAGTTTGTTGTGTTTCCTCCCACTGGTTTTTATCATGCCTGTAATTAGGTTTTTGGGCAGGGCACAAATTAACAGTAATTTCTAATGCTGTAATCGCCCCAAAATACACCAAATGTCTGGTTTATTTGCAGAGAAAAGGCATGTGCACTTTATACACTTAACATATTAACAAAGTGCATCAAGCATATGCACCGTAATTGCCGTACTACAAAACACACCTGATTAAAAGCCACACCAGCTACATTTAGCCATGAAAGCAAATTTGTACACACATTTGCCGTTTTGTATTAATAGCCTCAGGTCTTCATGTCAAACATGCGAAATGGACAAAGAAAGAGGTCACATCGATGGATTAAAAAAAAACAAAAAAAAACGGATTTTCCTTAAAACACCGGCGACTTTTTTTTTTCCCCCCCAACAATGCCAAACGCAGCTAGTTACACAGAAGCCTCCCAGAACCTTTCTCAGTCACTCTTGTTGTCCCACGAGACAAAAACAGTTGGAAACCAGTTTATATGCTGGGGAGACACAAGAGATTCAGACTTATATTGGGATGTCGCTAAATGGCCGGACTTGCTGTCCTTTTGTCCCAAACAAAGAGAGAGACTGGGGTCATCTTGCAGTGATGGCTGTATTTATGGCACTCGTTCCCTAAGCTCACTCAACTTAAGTCAAGATTCCTCTTTTTGCTCTCAATTGCTTCTTAAATAGCCAGGCATACAAACGTTTCGTATTTCTATCTTCAAGCAACCTGCCCCCACCCTCACAAGTGCGCATTCCAACACCAAATGCCTGATGAATATTTAGCATGAGGGCGCACCTGGCCACTTTCATTGGTCCACTATGTTCAGTAACTTCATTGGTCAGATGTGATGAGACTCTATTGGCAGACTTAAGATCATCAGTAAAAAAGCATGAATAAACCGTGTCACATTAAAAGCTACAAGATTCAAAGAATGGAGAAAGAAGTTGTCGCTTATAGTCGAGTAAATACGATAACCCCGTGTTTAAGAAGTGTTTTGTTTCCTGCCTGTTTTTGCACCAGGAGCTGCAGTACCAGCAGAGCAGGACAAGGGAACGTGGAGATAAGTTTGTGCCTGTGATTGGTGACTTCATCACAGTGGCTGGCTTCAGCTTCTCTGAACTGGAGGACCAGTTGAGCGAGGCCAAGGACAAGGTAACTGCTAACCTAGCTAGCCACACAGTGAACGTGTTTGAGATTCCATGTGGGTGGCTTAAAAGGGAATCTTTAGCCAGTTGTGTTCTTGACCAACCCTTCACGTTAGCTAGGGGGAAAAAGGGATGATGAAAGACTCCACTCTCAAGAGAAACACT